CATTCTATTAGGAAAAGTGAAATAAATCTGTCAAATATTCTTCTCTAGAGACTCATCTCACCCTACAAAGGTGCCTACAAGTAAAACAGGACTATTCTCAAGGGAGAGTTTTAAACATACCTTAAGCACATACATAAGTAACTCCTGGAAACCCCACAGCATTCCGTGACACAGAAATTCGTGCTTCTCAAACCATCTGTAGCAAAGGATCACTTTTCCACCAAATTTGTTCTAGACTAATACTTACGTAAAATACAATTGCAAAAATATCATGAGGATGTCAAGTTGCTATAAAGTTTCCACATGTTTACTCTCAATTTCTTTCCTTACCTTACTGCATAGCAGTAACAGTTTGTAGACCATCACCAATTTGTGGACCACACTTTCAGCAGCAGAGACATAAAACACAGCAAAAATGACAAGTAGGGCTGAGCCCAGTGGCTCCTGCCTATAATCCCAGTACTTTGGGAGGCCAAGGCAGGCAGATCACTTGAGATCAGGAGTTTGAGACCAGCCTGGCTAACATGGTGAAACCTCACCTCTACTAAAAATTTAAAAAAAATTAGCCAGGTGTGGTGGCATGCTCCTGTAGTCCCAACTACTCCGGAGGCAGAGGCAGGAGAATTGCTTAAACCTGGGAGGTAGAGGTTGCAGTTAGCCGAAATTGCACCACTGCACTCCAGCCTAGGTGACAGAGCGAGACTCTGTCTCAAAAAAAAAAAAAGACAAGTGGCCATTATCCAGTCTTCAGACTCATCGATTCACTTAGCAGATACTTCTTTGTTTTTTTAAGACAGAGTCTCGCTTGGTCACCCAGGCTGGAGTGCAGTGGCACGATCTCCGCTCACTGCAACCTCCACCTCCTGGGTTCGAGCGATGATTGTGTCTCAGTCTCCTGAGCAGCTGGGACCATAGGCACAAACCAGCACGCCCGGCTAATTTTTTTTGTATTTTTAGTAGCGAGGGGGTTTCGCCATGTTGGCCAGGCTGGTCTTGAACTCCTGACCTCAAGTGATCTGCCCGCCTCAGCTTCCCAAAGTGACAGGCGTGAGCCACCACACCCAACCAGTTAGCAGATATTTACTGAGTATCCATGTGCTAGATAAATACCTCAGGATTGATCCTGTGAAATGCCTGATTCTGAGCAACAGTTTCTGTGCCACTCTACCATAAGTTAGGGGCCATATATCCCCAAATAGTGAAATGCAGTTATTTTTAATTGACCATCTAATACTTTGGATGACTATTTTAGTCTTGACAGAATTCATTTAAGTCTTCCAATTGTAGTTTGGCATCGACTCCTTAATGCTCCCATGGCATACTCCTAAATTCATCCATTCAATAGAATAACTACAAAATATCTAAACAAATAATGACATGTGGAGAGCCTATTACTATTCTGGACACTAAGTATACAGTAGAGAACAAAATAGACAGCGTCCCAACACCCTGCAACATATGCCCATACTCTACCTTCAAAGAGCTTACAATCCAGTGGGGAGAGAGACAGTAAACAAAACAAATACAGAAAATATACTTTTGACTGTGGCTGGGCACGGTGGCTCACGCCTGTAATCTCAGCACTCTGGGAGGCCGAGGCGGGTGGATCACAAGGTTAGGAGTTCAATACCAGCCTGGCCAAGATGGTGAAACCTCGTCTCTACTAAAAATACAAAAACTAGCTGGGCGTGGTGGTGTGCACCTGTAATCCCAGCTACTCAGGAGGCTGAGGCAGGAGAACTGCTTGAACCCGGGAGGCACCGGTTGCAGTGAGCCGAGATCACGCCACTGCACTCCAGCCTGGGTGACAGAGCGAGACTCTGTCTCAGAAAAAACAACAGAAACAACAACAACAAAAGAAAATATATTTTCGATTGTGGTAAGTACCATGGAAAAAAATGAAGCAAGATGGAGAACAGGAGGTGTGAAACTGAGATAGAGGCAGTGGGGGTGGACAAGAGACTTTGCAATTTTAAACAGGGTGTGGCCAGAGAGAGCCTCACTGAGGATATTTGAACAAAGACCTGAAGGAGGTGACGAAGTGACCCAAACAGATAATGGGGGAAAAAGTGTCCCAGAAAAAAAAATACAAGAGCCCTAAGGCAGAACTACGTTTCAGGAAATAGCAAGGAATGTGGGAGCACTTATTCTTTTCATACTTCTATAATTGCAACACTCAGTTACTCCAAAATCTTCCATTGGATTCTCAGTGCTTTGAGGGCAGAAATCAAATTCTATTCATCTTTGTATCCCCAACCCTTACTTGTTGAGTAATGAAATTGTTTAAGCTACAGTATTACTACTGTAGTAATAATATAGATATGTACTATCATACTATCTGAGATAGTATGATAATACAGATATGTACTATCTCTCCCCCTACATCCCTCCCATAAAGCAGCTCCTGTATGTTGTATGGCTATAAAAAGACTGCTGCCTACCCAATTAGACATCCCAATTACCCTAGACTCTTCCTCCTTCTACACCCTCGATATCCAGTCAATAACTAAATCCTGTCAATTCTTGTTTACATCATTATAGTGGCCCTCAATTCATGTCTTTTGCTGCAGCCTTTCCTCCCAGGTATTTCAAATGAAAAAGATAATTTGCATTCATTTCTGGATATATTAAGTAATTTTAAACTCTTGACCTCATTTTATATGTAGCCTACATGTTTACAGAATTTAAGCCAATCATTACATGTCTTCATTGAAATTTGACCCTGGCAGGTTTTATAATTTGAGGACTACTAGAATCATGAAGTTCAGTGGTTAGTACCGAGGTCCAACAATAGATTTGCACGTGCCTATCACCCTCACCTTCATGTTCCTAGAAATTCACACTAAACAGCTTGCATTTTCAATTTTCCTTTGTAATTTCAATTGGACATGGTATTCTTCACTTTCCATTGTGAAGTCAGCCGCCCAGTGTCAACAGCTGCTAGATCTCACATCACAAGTAAGATATGGCTTTCTATTTCAAGCTATGCAATATTAGTTAATATACAGAATGGGTATACATAGGTGCTTACTGTCTAATTGGCTGCAGTATGGAAGGTTATGTTCTCCGGTAATAAAGAAAATCTTATAATTTGTCTAATTCACTTACAGAATTACTCTCTCAGTGCATCTTAAGCGCTCTGTAGTAGAAATAGGATTTGGATTTTCTTCTTTAAATCCCAGATTTCAGTGGTATCAGCTTGTGACCTGAGTAATCTGTTTAACCTGAGCTTCAGTTTTCCTCATTTCGTAAAATGAGAATAATTATATTCTCACTGGGTTATTGCAAGAGCAAATGAAATCATGTGAAAGTGCAAAACAAATGCTACTAGTTGTTACACATCACAAAATGGCCCAGGGCACGGGTTTTTGTCGGAGCTTTTTGAAACTACAGGCAATTCAAAGTCAGTACCTACAGATTTAAATTATCTTAATAGCTAAAAACAACTATTGTGGGGACAGGCTAAGAGTTTAGATCTTCCAAGTACGAAGCGTTTATTCTTTCCAGAAATCATTGTGTGTCAGGGGCGGAGAGGGGGTGGTGGGGAAGGCCGGGTTATTCTACTCATACACGGTTTAATACTCAGTGAAATCTCAAACAACTTGCTTTAAACAAAGAATAATTAATGGCGAGTTTGCAAACAATAGCATTTGGCAGGCAGTTCTTAAGTTCAGAAAAATGTGCAAAAACCTAAGCAAGGTTTTATGTGTATATAAATCTTGTCTTTTATTTTTTAAGACATCCCTGAAGTTTTCTGCGGAAACCAGAAAGGGCAAGAAATTGGTCTTAGGTTGCTCAAGGAAACTGGTACTCACTTGTACCCTGCGGCTATACATTATATACAGGAAAAGGAGGAGGGATCCAAGGAGGGAGTGGTGCTCCAGTGCGTGGTCCATTAATTCACATTTTGCTCTCTTCTGTTCACATCCTGCGCGGACTCCACCCAAGGCAACCGAGCGAGGGGGTGGGTGGGACTCAGAGCCTACCAAATAACAGTCCCAGAAACCGAAACGAAATCGAGGTGGAATTCTGAAAACACGGCTCACCAGAAAGAGGGGTGGAGAAGGAGCGCGAGAGGAGACCCTTCTTTTGGCAGAAGAGGTATCCCTGGCCCTCGCTGCTTCCTGGGGAACCCCCTCCCCTCAATCGCAACCAGTTCCCTCCTTTCCTACACATGGAAGGAGGAAGACACACACAGAGCAAGGCCACTCATTCTTGGAACGTGGGCGGAGAACACACAAGTATTCCTCAGAGAATTTCAAAGGGAAATCGAGGAAGGGCAACCTGGGAGAGGAGGAGGAAAGGAAACTGACTGCCAAGTGGTGGACCCGTGAGACCGTGGAAAGGAACTAAGTAGATAGCCTACTAGGGCCGGCGCCCCAAGAAAGAAGGGCTACCTGTTGAATGGAACTCTCCCTGCGGAGGCGGAGGGGGAAGAAGGCGAGTCACCCCAGAGAGCGGAGCCCTTGTCCCCAGAGCAGCCTCGCTGGGGCTGGTGGCGAGGGATCTCAGCCTCAGTGCCTGCGGGGCCCCACCCTGAGAAGCCTTGGCTGGCAGATACAGTGATGAGAGACACCGACAGAAACAAGGGAGAGGCGCACGACTGGAGCCGGTCTGGCCCGCTCCCGCGGTTAGTCACTCACATCTGATACTCGTCTATCGCCTCCACCAGCTGGCCCCAAGAGTCGAAGTCGGCGCCTCTCCTAAAACTGGCGCCCCAGCGCTGCAGCAGACTCCGGGTCACCTCCGACATGGCCGGTCCCCACCCCGTCCCCTCCCGCCCCTACCCCAGCAAGGCTGGGTTCTAGGGCGCCATCCTCCCTGGGCCTGGCCCCGACATTAACAGGGCCAGGAGGAACCGCTACAGCCACCACCGCCACCCGCCGAGGAGCCGCCCAAGCCCATTTGCCGCCACAGCCAAACTTTGCGGCTCCAAAAGCGACCGCCCCGCCGAGACCCCGCCCCCGAGGCCCCGCCCCGCGTTAGGTTGAGGCCGCCCCACTCCGCCGAGGGCCGCCATAGCTATTGCGGCATCCTCCCTCCGCTCCGCAGGCAGGGGCAACGCTTCTCTTCCTGTCTGGGATAAAGACCATAGCTCAAAAGGAAAACCGAGGGAGGAGAAGTTAGAAAGAGCTGATGAACGGAGCGTTTTGAGGGGACTGTGACGCCGCGGCAATCCCCGCCCTTGAACTGCGCGCACTACCGCCTCGGTAGCTGTCATGGCCGCCGGGCCACGTGACTCCGACTTGGCTCCGGCCTCGCTTTTCGTCACTCTGGTTTTGTAGTCTCGGTTCTCCGACTCCCTCTTTTTCCTCGCTTGTGGACTCCGATATTGCCATTCTTCCCTTAGAAGAACTGCTGTACCGACTCTGAGAAATTTGGTAAGTATGTCAGAGGATGGGTGTTTCTCAGTAATACCCACCGCTGTTTCTCCGGAGTCTCAAGCAATAGGGTCACCCCCTTTTACATTAGTCTCCATAGACCCCTGGACAGCGGACCGAAAGTCTCCTTCTAATGCCTTGAAACAAACGACAGAAAGAAAATCCATATTGGTTCCCACAAATCAGTAGCATTAACAGCTAGATCCGCTGAATCCCCTTGCCCCGCATCTCCATCGGTCTTTGGAGAGCTTATAATACAAGCTAAACTGGGGTTCGTTCGGCCGTTGTCTGGCCACCTCTCCCGGGTTGACAGTATCGGCTTTCCACAAAAATGCCTGTTTGGAAAAAGGGGAACTCAAGTGTTGGCGCGTGCGCACGGTCGCCGCCCGCCGCCTCGAACGGGACTGGGCAGGGGAGGAAGAGGCTGGGTGGTAAACAGGAAGTGGGCCCTCAGAGCTCGGGGGCGGCGCTCAGGTAGGTTACTCCGGGGACTCGGGGCCTTTGGAGTGGGGATCCCTTGTCAGGAACGGGAGTCCTCTTGTGGAAGTGTGTTAGCTTACAGCTTCGATCCGAATGTTGTATTGGTGGCTCTAAAGTCACCCTTGTCCCTGCGGGTGGGTGTGTCCTTCTTCTATCCCACCCTAGGAACTTTCGAAAACTGAAGAGCGCCGGGTCGCAGAAGGGGAGAAGATGGGGCAGAAACTTACCCTCTTCTTTCCTGAAGTAAAGATACGCAAAACTTCAGACATTTTCATCCAGGAAGTAGGAGGCCGCATTAAAAGAAGTATTTGTGGAAGATTTCGCAGCATTAAGTGCTGAGTGTGATACTAACTCTAAGTTTATTTGTAGGCACGTAGATGCTATATTAGGCTATCGGAATTTATATGGAAGATGTGTAGATGATGGTATTTTCTGAAATAGCTCGTTAAATGTTTCGAGTCCTAAATAAACCTGCTCAGTTTTTCCTTGGGTACACACTGCGTTCTCTATTCGTTAAATATGTGGTGCTCCTCAAAACAGGCTTTGTCATGAATAAATAGCATAAAGGAAGCACTTAATGTAGGCATTTCGTACACTGTGCAGCCAACATTATTTTCTAATAATAGGAAAAGTCGATTGTCAGGCTTGTACAGTGCCTTCAAATTAAGTGAACCTTACCAGAATTTCTTTGTTGCTTCCTGGAAGCTAATTGCCATGTTTAGGTCTTCGCCTTGGCTTTCTCCGTAAAATCTGCTGCACTGCCTACTCGAGGACATTTAGACAAGACATGCTGCTTTTTTTTTTTTGCTTTTTTTTTTTTTTTTTTTTTGAGATGGAGTCTCTGTCGCCCAGGCTGGAGTGCAGTGCAGTGGCGCGATCTTGGCTCACTACAAGCTCCGCCTCCTGGGTTCACACCATTCTCCTGCCTCAGCCTCCTGAGTAGCTGGTACTACAGGCGCCTGCCACCATGCCCGGCAAATTTTTTTTGTACTCTTAGTAGAGATGGGGTTGCACCGTGTTAGCCAGGATGGCCTCGATCTCCTGACCTTGTGTGATCCTCCTGCCTCGGCCTCCCTAAGTGCTGGGATTACAGGCGTGAGCCACCGCTCATTTATTAAGTAGAGGGTATGGAACTTCAATTTTTTTTTTTAAGTTGGCATCTCACTTAGGTAGTTTTTTTTTTCTTTTTCCTTTTTTGAGACAAGATCTTGCCCTGTCGCCCAGGCTAGAGTGCCATGGGGAGATCAGGGCTCACTGCAGCCTACATCTCCTGGACTCAAGGGATCCTCCCCCCTCAGTCTCCCCAGTAGATGGAACCACAGGCGTGGCTACGATGCCCGGCTGATTTTTGTAGAGACGGGGTCTCAACAAGTTGCCCAGGCTGGTCCCAAATTCCTGAGCTCAAGCGATCCAGCCACCTCGGCTTTCCAAAGTGCTGAGATTACAGGCGTGAGCCACCACACCCAGCCCAGTGTTTCCATTTTATAATAGAATTTATTGGTCAAGTATTGTATTACATTTTTATTTTAAGAATATTCTTTAGATATTTTTTGGAAAGTACATTTTATTGTAGAACACATGTTATAACCAATCCACTGTTGTCAGCGATATGTCGGAAATACAGCAATTAACTTGAAACTTATTACAAGTAGCCTTAGCAATATAATCAGGGTTACCATTTGAACCCGTTTTGGAAATTACATTCATCTGGTCCTGTGCCCTTTTTACTTGCAGTTGTCCAACCAAAATCTAGTACTTTGCTATTCAGAAGTGTGTGGGGACCAGCAGCATCAGCATCTCAGGTCCTGCCCCAGGCTAATGACTTAGAGCCTGCATTTGACAAAACCACCCACCCCCAGGTGATTTTTATGTATGTTAGAGTTTAAACATTACTGCTCCTATATAGGTATGTTAACATTGAAGTTATTGTGGGCAGATTTTCAAATGCTGTTCTGCTTTTTTTTATAGGCCTGATTTGAACATAGACCATCATAAATAGACAAAACATACCTGAGGCCGGGCGCGGTGGCTCACGCCTGTAATCCCAGCACTTTGGGAGGCCGAGGCGGGTGGATCACTTGAGGTCAAGAGTTTCATTCCAGCCTGGCCAATATGGTGAAACCCCGTCTCTACTAAAAATACAAAATTAGCCAGGCTAATTTTTGAATTAGATTTTTATACTATTGAAATAAATTTTTATACTATTTACCTTGTTTATTAAATATTTTATATTTAATTTTTGTACATTTTTTACTTTTTTGTCTGTAGAAAACATCTGGAGAAAATGACCCATTGGTTTCATAGGAACCCATTAAAAGCCACAGCTCCTGTGTCTTTTAATTACTATGGTGTAGTCACTGGCCCTTCTGCTTCAAAAATATGCAAGTAAGTTTATTGATTAAACCACTCTTAGATGCAAGGTACTTTTTTTGGTTCCATGGGCAATACAAAAATATGTAACACACTGTTTCTAACTTTAAGTTCGTTATAAATTTACAAATGACATGTAAACAGTTAAATCATAGATTATTTAAACTTTGGTAGTCTTCTAGCCCTGGATCCTTAATTTTAGATCAGTAAATGAGTCTCAGAGAGGCTAAAGCAATCATAGTAAAACAGTTAATCTGTGTATTACAACAGTACAAGAGACTACACAAAGTAGTGTTTGAAAATTTTTATTTTTTATTTTTGTTTTTATTTTTTGAGATGGAGTTTCACTCTTTTCATCCAGGCTGGAGTGCAATGGCTTAATCTTGGCTCACTGCAACATCTGCCTCCTGGCAGAGGTTCAAGCAATTCCGGCAATTCTCCTGCCTCAGCCTCCCAAGTAGCTGGGATTAGAGGCACCCGCCACCACGCCCTGCTAATTTTTCTACTTTTAGTAGAGACGGGTTTTCACCATGTTGGCCAGTCTGATCTCAAACTCCTGACCTCAAGTGATCCACCCGCCTCGGCCTCCCAAAGTTCTGGGATTACAGGCGTGAGCCACCATGCCCAGCTGTATAGGGACATTTTAAATTGGCCACATATTAAACTTCTTGACTTCAGAGTAGGGAGAGATCCCTATGACCTGAAATGCCTTCAAAGTGTTCACGTAGGAAAAAGTACTTGTGATAGGCCTTAAATGAATTGTATGGCTTAGATCAAGGGTTGGCAAACTGTCCTATGGATTTGGATCATTGCTTGTTTTTATTGGAACACAACCAGCCCCACATTTATTGACATACTGTGTATGGTTGCCTCTGGCTGTTTTTCTCTACAACACCAGAATTTAATAGTTCCAATGGATACCTTATTACCAGAAAAGCCTGAAATGTTTACTATTTGGTGCTTTCCAAAAAAATATTTGGGTATTCTTGATTTAGATTGTCAGAGGGGAAAGGAGAAGGTTATTTCTGTCAGGAAAACCTTTGTGCTAGTGATAGTGAGTAGAGCAGTTTGGCTGAAACGAAAGCGATAAATGCAAAAGATGTGTTGAAGGGGGAGTCAATGGACCTGATTGACTAATTTGCCTTGGGAGGCTGAAAAGGATTCAGTCTATATGAGATACAGAACCTAAATGATTAAGACATTGGTGGTACCAATAAAGGAAAATCTGAAGACTTGCCACTTTTATGGGAAGAAGTGATTACAACAAAAGATAGGATAATCGGCTTATTAATCTAAAGCAATGGTCCTCATACTTTTTTTGAAAGCTGCATAGTATTTATTTTAGGCCTTGTGGTCCACATGCAGTCACTATTGCATATGATTCTTTGTTCATTTTTACAAGCCTTTTAAAAATGTGAAAACCATTCTTAATTTGAGGACTGAACAAAAATAAGCTGTGGAGTATACAAAAACTGGTTACAGTTTGTAGTTTGTCAACCTCTGATCTAGACTCCTGGAGGCAAGTCCCAGCTTAGCTGTTTTATCTGTACCATTGGGCAAGTCCCTTAACTTCTTTGGGCCTAATTCCTAATCTATAAAATGAACAGCCTCAATTAAATATATCTGAGGTACATTTTTCTCAAATTCTGTAATTTAAGATGAATAGAACTTTACAAGTTGAGCTGTAGGTGATGATTAAGCATCAATATGGAAATAGCTAGCAAACTATTTGAGTGCAGAATAGGCTTTAAGGATTCAAATTTCTGCCTAGTCCAGGAATTGAATCACTTTCCAGCTTCTAGAGATATACCTCAAACAATGATTAATTCATAAGATGGCCAGTCACATTTTCAGTCAGCTGTTTGTAATTGGCAATACATACATACACTTCTTGGAATAAGCCTCCTTAGAGTTAGTACCAATGAATAAGTACTACATCTAGACCATTCAGGATTAAGTCTGTGCTCTCTTTTAAACATCACTGCTATCTTAATCTAAATCTCAAAAGAAAATATTTGAAAAGTTAGTATTCTTCCACTCAATTAGTAATTTTGAATATGTGCTTTATCCTAGGCACCTACCCAATTCTGGATATACAGCCTCTACTCTCTTGATGCTTACCATTTAAATTTAGTCTTTCTTTAATGGTTTACACATATTTCAAGGGTCTTTGGTCATATCCATGTATTGTAATTTCGGAAGCCTCACTGAGCTAATTGCCTTCTGAATTCGATTTGGAACTGAAATAGAACCAAGTGAAAGCTAACGATGGAGAGCTAGGAATTGATATAGTTGAAGCTATACTAATCGATGAGATCTCAAAAGAGAGAAAACCAGAAAGCCAAAGACTGAACATTTCTGGAGTTGGGAATGAAAAGGAGACACAGAAAAAAATATAAAAGGAACTTTAAAATGATAAGGGGAGCACCTGGAAAATTTGGTGTTATTGGAATCAGAGGAGAAATAATTTCAAGAAGGAAAAAGTGGATCTACAACATTTATTGCTGTAGAGAAGTAAAGGAGAATATATATTAGGGAGCAGTTTTAAAACAACTAATGGCCACATGTTTTGCATATTCTTGATGTATATATTGAATTATACGTCAAGAATATGTAATTATATATAATGTAATTTTATTTTTTAAATATTTTTATGCAGTATATTTTCACATGTTTGTGTTTTATGTCAGATTTAGAAACTTTAAGGAGATATTAAAATGATATACAGATAAATTTTCATTTTTCAGGAAACTTATTGTGAACTGCTTAGTTTTTTATTCATTCTTCTTTCCCCACATCTTAAATGCATGCATTTGTTTGTTTTTTAATGAAAACTTGATACACGTTTTTATCATGTAATTGAATTTAGTATTTGCCTCTTTAATTGGTCTGAGTTTATTTTAGTACAACTTTTAAAGCAGTTATTAGAAATTTTTTCTCTAGATTTAGTTCTAATTAAATTCATTTCTGTGTATTTGGTAATCCTTAGAGGAGGTGGGCATGTGCATGCGTGTGTGTGTTTTAAAGCTTTTACGTTGAAACCTGGTGTGTGTGTGTTTTAAAGCTTTTACACTGAAACCTGGAAACCAGTTTTATGTGAGATTGATTGCAGTACAACTAACTTTACTGTCTTTTTCTATCTCTTATAAGTGACTTGAGGTCATCCAGGGCACGACTCCTTGAACTGTTCACTGATTTGAGCTGTAATCCAGAAATGATGAAGAATGCAGCAGATTCATATTTTTCACTTTTACAAGGTTAGTTATTTATATGAACTTGAGGTTTTTTAAAAAACTGTCTAGAAGTTTACATTTAATTCTTTGACTTTTCAAATTTGATTAGTTTATTCTTCCAGACTATATTCTTTGGAAAAGGGCAAGAAGTTTCATTCAGACACCTGGGAAAGTAATCTGAAAATTTTTCCAAACAGAACACTCAATATTTCTTCTAAAACTAAAATATCTTGTACTTTCTGTAGGTTTCATAAATTCTTTGGATGAATCTACCCAAGAAAGCAAGTTACGATATATTCAAAATTTCAAGTGGACTGATACGTTACAAGGACAGGTTCCAAGGTAAGCAACACTAAGGTAGTACTAAATTGGAGCCAGTTTTTGTAACTCTGTAGCCAGTGGTTAACTCATAGTCTCTGTATTTGGAGAAGAAAAATACAGATCTGCATTTTCTCTTACCAGGAAATTAATTAAAAGAATTTGAGCTCAATCCTAGTACATAGTAAGTAAAAATATAATTTATTTCTCCCAAACAAATCTATTTTTGAGGTAATCAATACAAATGTCAACTATAGTTGAACAGCCTTGACCTTTAATAACACACAAAGGATGATTTGAGGATTTGGACCCAAACAGTATGTGCCTACATTCAAGCTGAGCAGAATTTAAGTTTTTCCCTTCCTTTTCTTTTGCTGATGGATACATCATGTATCTTCCATTAGTCTTTCTCTGTCTCATTCTTTCTCTCCAACTCTATACTCTTGATTCACAGTATGTGTTTTCTTCCTTATCTCTCTTCCCTATTTCTACTCTTTTTAAAAACTTCTCTTCAGAGCTTATCACTCACTTGAAACTACTTCTAATAGGTTTAATTATAACAGGAAATAGATCATAAAGATGTTAATTTTTTACTTACCTACTGTTTTTCAACACCATTTTGTTGTTTAAATGCCCATATATTTTAATCTCAATTTGCTTTAGAATTACTATTTTATAAAAACAGAAAGGAAGGAGTGGAGGTTGCTGAAAGACCAGAGCAGGCTATACATTACAGTGGAAAGAGTATGAACACTGGGTTTGTACATATTTAGATGCAAGTCCAGGTTTTCTACTGCATGAACATCTGCTTCTTCAACTGTATCTTGGGGCTACAGATACAGTATTTTGTGAGAAGCAAAATAAAATTTTTGTTAAGTGACTGATAACAGTACTAGGCTTATAAGACATTCATTAAATGTTCATTTCCTTCCTTCCTTGGGAATATTTTATGTAGAATTCATAATATTCTGGGATACTCAGATTTTCTAAGACCTTGTTTTCTGTTTTTTAATGTGACCCATTTGTTTTTAATCCAAAATTAAGGAATTTTTTTGAATTAAGACTTTTTTAAACAATCAAACCTCTGTCATTATTTTGACAGATTCTATAATGTGTGCATTTCATGAATTTGACGCTTTTCCAAGCATGCCACATTTTGCTTCCGTGTAGTAGTGAGCTAAAGTCAAGTACAGTGGCTCATGCCTGTAATCCCAACACTTTGGGAGGCCGTGGCAGGCAGATCACTTGAGTTCAGGAGTTCGAGACCAACCTGGCCAACGTGGTAAAACACCGTATCTACTAAAAAATACAAAAACTAGCTGTGCGTGGTAGAAGGTGCCTATAATCCCAGCTACTTGGGAGGTTGAGACAGGAGAATCGCTTGAACCCGGGAGGCCAAGGTTGCAGTGAGCTGAGATGACGCCACTGCCACTGCACTCCAGCCTGGGCAACACAGTGAGAATCCATCTCAAAAAAAAAGAGAGAAAGAAAGAAAGAAAAAAGTGAACTACTATTTAACCTTTTTTCAGCAGTGTTATGAGATCGTGAAGAATTATGTGATGAAGACTTTAATACTAAATATTCTGCACAAGTGAGACTTCTAAATTACTTTATTCTTGATTGCTACTTACTCAGTAGAAATCATATTGTGAGTTTATCTGTTCTGAAAAATATTTTTTCCATTATAGATGCTATGACTACTACTTTTATGTGGTGTCATAGAAATGGAGTGTTTGGAAACAAGGCATGTTGACATAAATGAAGGATTATAAAGGAAGAGAGTTATTTATGAGACTTCACATAAATTAGCCAAACAGTTATATTATTTAAAGGTAAAGTTATAAATTAGACATGTCCACTAGATCTCCAGATGTAATTCATTTGATAGTTTCCATGCAGAAAAGAATAAACTATTACACTATGTGTTAAATTTTTTTCAGGAGGATAAAACTGTTTTGAGAAGTTTGTTCATAACTGTCATTTTTGGATGTTATAATCTATACTAAACGATAGTTTGGACATTATATTTTAGTTACCACATATAACACTTTTTTTTTTTTTCATTTAAAAAGTTGCCATATCTCCATTTCTCTTAAGACAGGGGCAACAAGTAACTAAAAAATAAAAACTAGAGCGATAATTCTGGTTTCTTCTTCTTTTTGGGCAGCTTTTCTGTATCTTAGTATTACATGTGTAAAATAAGAATATTCTGCTTTCTTCATCAGTTGAGATAAATGAGATCATGTGTAAAAAATTTTCAGGTTTTTCTAAGAACAGTAGTGAATATATATTGTTACGAATATCTTATTTGCTTGATATGCTTTTGCCATCTTTATTTCATACTTAGAATCTGAAGCAAACAAACAAGGTATAAAATATACTTGTGTTCAGGACCTTTTTCTGGAATGCTGATTGGCTAAGCATTCAGAATCTTACACAGTTTGCCTTCAGCTTTCTTTTTGCCCTTCTTTTCCTTCATTTCTTGTTTACATACCATCTGCTTCAATCAAGCTCATTGGGTCACTTCTATCTGAAAAATTTTTATACTCCTCTTGTGCTTTGATGGCATTGTTTCCTTAGCTGGGATGTCCTTTTGCTTCCCTTCTAGTCATCTTTCCAGGGACAGTTCAGATTTTATATATACCATTAAACCTTCTTAATTATTCTAGCCTGAAATAATCTTCTGAATTTGATTTTTCTAAAATGTTGTATAAGAGCCACACCTTTGAGAATTGACTGAGTACTTGTTAAAAATACAGATTCTAAGCCCCATCTCAGGCTTTCTGATAAGGCCCAGAAATCTGTATTTTAAAAAGCTACTCTATGTACAGTAAACTTTGGGAACTCCTATTCCCATGCTTATTATTAAGTACATAGTACCTTCTGGACCATTATACTTAGGCATTTGTAGTTAATTACCTGTATGTCTTATCTCCCCATCTGTATGAAACACAGCCATTTTCCTCATACATACCAGTTAGCATATACTTCTTTGTACTTTTGAGTCGTTTGTCCAATAGGCTTCATGGTGTGATGTCTTGATAATTGACAGAACCTAATGATCCGTGTTTATAATTCCAGTGCCCAGCAGGATGCTGTTTTTGAATTAATTTCCATGGGATTTAATGTAGCTTTATGGTATACCAAATATGCTTCAAGACTGGCTGGAAAAGAAAAGTAAGTTAAAAGGAGAGAATTGTGTACATCTGTGTTATTTTTCAAGTATATGGTGCTTAATTATTTTAAAAATCTATTTTAAAAAGTACCACTTTGGACATGTGAAGGATTGCCTTGTAATGTTAGTATTTTGAGTGTCAGAATTATGGCACCTAGTGTTAAGAGGTAAAATAAATTTTAATAGTCTTGTCATATGGAAGGTCTTGCTAAGACCCCAAATCTAGAAACCATAAAGTAAAAGCATGACTATTTAACTACATCAAAGGACCATAAACAAAGTTAAAAAAAAATTTCAAGATTGGTCAAAAACATTGCAATTCATATGATACATTGTTTTTATAACGTATACTCTTATAAATCAGCAAAGGAAAGACCGTCAAATCAATTGAAAAGCAAAGGACAGGCCGGGCGCGGTGGCTCAAGCCTGTAATCCCAGCGCTTTGGGAGGCCGAGGCGGGCGGATCACGAGGTCAGGAGATCGAGACCATCCTGGCTGACACGGTGAAACCCCGTCTCTACTAAAAAATACAAAAAACTAGCCGGGCGAGGTGGCGGCGCCTGTAGTCCCAGCTACTCGGGAGGCTGAGGCAGGAGAATGGCGTGAACCCGGGAGGCGGAGCTTGCAGTGAGCTGAGATCCGGCCACTGCACTCCAGCCTGGGTGATAGAGCGAGACTCCGTCTCAAAAAAAAAAAAAAAAAAAAAAAAAGAAAAGCAAAGGACATGAACAGGCAATTCACAGAAAACAAATACAGAAGGCTAATAGTATGTGAAAAGATGTTTTGAAGGATTAAAGAATTATAAAAGGTGATACAATTTTTATAATAGCAATACTTGATACAGCAATAGGAAACTGTCAATTTATGGTTCATCCATACGTGGAAACAATATGCAACCACTTGAAAATGATGTCAAATTGTATGTGCTGTTGTAAAATTATCTCTAAAGTAAAGTAGGTGATTAAAATAAGAGCAGAGTAATGATTATAGCTACCATTGTATATCTGTGTGTTTCTTAAGCATATATATGCGTTAAGTATGTAATATTTTGTCTTATTTATGTACAAATGTCTGTAAGGAAAAAGAAGAAGGCTTTGTCCGGATTTTATTTTGTTTTGTTTTTTTTTGTAGAGGTTAGGTCTCACTATGTTTCCTGGGCTGGTCTCAAACTCCTGGCTTCAGGTGATTCTTCTGCCTTGGCTTCCCAAAGTACTGGGATTACAGGCATGATCCACCATGCCTGCCTGCAGATTTTACCTCTAGTTAGCGTCTCTCTTTTTTCATTTGTAGTGTTTTCTTTTTGGAGACATACTGATAGACTTTTGCCATCTTAATGTTACCTTTATGTCGTATACTTGTTTTTCGTTTGTAGTGTCTTCTTTTTGGAGACATATTGATAGACTTTGCCATCTTAATGTTACCTTTATGTCATATACTTGTTTTCAAGACCTTTTTGTGGAATACCGATTGGCTTGGCATTCAAAATCCTTTACAGTTGTTACGAGTTTTCTATAAATGTACATTTCATGTGCATTTGTTCCTTTTCTAGGTGTCAAAATTAATTTTTTTTTGGTGGGGGGTGGATGGAGTGTTGCTCTGTCGCCAGACCAGGCTGGAGTGCAGTGGCACGATCTCGGCTCACTGCAACTGCCGCCTCCTGGGTTCAAGTGATTCTCGTGCCTCAGCCTCCCAAGTAGCTGGGATTATAGGTGCCTGCCACCATACCCAGCTAATTTTGGTATTTTTAGTAGAGACAGGGTTTTGCCATGTTGGCCAGAATGGTCTCAAACTTCTGGCCTCAAGCAGTCTGCCCGTCTCAGCATCCCAAAGTGCTAGGATTACAGGCGTGAGCCATCCTGCCTGGCCTCAAAATCAGATTTTTTTAAAAGGAAGAAAATTAGCAGTGAGAAACATAAATGACTACTTTGGATATATAATAATGTATTGGTTGTTGTGTTTTAATACCAGAAATGGAATTCATCCTCTAACTAATGTAACCCCTATCTTTAAGTATAACAGAAGATGAAGCAAAAGAAGTTCATCGAAGCCTAAAGATTGCAGCTGGGATTTTTAAACATTTAAAGGTAAAACAAACAAACACAAACCATTATTTGTTCTTAATGCTTTAGTTCTTGAGTAATTTTTCTTTTTGGGGGATATGGGGAAAGAACTGTTTCATTATATTAAAAAAAGTACTATGTGTTCTGTTTACCTTATGTTAAGTATGTTACTGATGAGTGCAGCCAGTTACTAAATATTAAGTATCTCCATTTTTGTTTTAAAATCACCAGTGACTTTTATAATTAGAAAACTAAAGTTTTAGTGCTCTGCTTATTTTTCTGTGTCCTTGAAAACATAGAAGAAAAGAAAGCAGAAGTATTGATGGTTCTTACCTACCTCATTACTCTCCACAGAAGTTACCAGGATTAGTCCTGATTCTGCAGAACTGAACTTCTGATTGTATTCTCTGTATCTCACCAAAAACATTAGAGGGACAATCAGTGGACTCTAATTATATTAAATTGCTGGGAGATGTGATGAGAATTAGGAGAAAGAATATCGTGTCTTTTAAGCAATGTCCCCCCAGTTCATTCTAATTAAATCACTTTATTGAAGGCCTCCTGGAGGCCAGTGTTGAGTTTTTTCATGTTAAAATAAGATGCTTTTTATAGTGATTAGAAAACTCTGATCCTGAGTTAGATGTAGAATTGTAGTGGGTTTTTTTTTTTCTCTTTGAGACAGAGTCTTACACTGTTGCCCGGGCTGGAGTGCAGTGACGCGATCTTGGTTCAGTGCAATCTCTGCCTCCTGGTTCAAGCAATTCTCTTGCCTCAGCCTCCCGAGTAGTTGGGATTATAGGTGCCCGCCACCACGCCTAGCTAAGTTTTTGTATTTTTTGGTAGAGACAGGATTTCACCATGTTGGCCAGGCTGGTCTCAAACTCCTGACCTTGTGATTTGCCCACCTCAGCCTCCCAAAGTGCTGAGATTACAGGCATGAGCCACCGCACCCAGCCTCTTTATATCTTTAATTATTAATGTGAATGAACATTTCAGGCTATCCCGCAAAAGGAATTTTGGTTACTATTTCCGTTAACGTTTTTCAAGATGATAGTGTGACTTGGGTATCTCAGCAATCTATCATGACTTAAATTTTGCTCTTGAATTTCTTGTTCTTATAAAAGCTGTTTTAGTACACAGGAACTTTTATTCTTTATAAGCTCACTGTTGTTAAGTTTTTATAGTTTTTGTTTATACCCCGAATTTCTGCTAAGCATCCAAATTGAATGTCTTGTAACTTTCATTTTCTTCATCTCTAACAACTGGATTAAAGTAAAATCTGGCTGCTTTATTTTATGTCTTTTTTGTCATTGTTCTCAGGAAAGTCATACCCCAAAACTCATTACACCTGCAGAAAAAGGAAGAGATTTAGAGTCACGACTCATAGAAGCATACGTTATTCAATGTCAGGCTGAAGCTCAAGAAGGTATCCTAAATATTGTAAGATTTTTTAAAATGAAAGTCTGTATTGTCATTTAATTCCTCTTTAAAAATCAGACGTTGGGCACTGTGGCTTATGCATGTAGTCCCAGCACTTTGGGAGGTCAAGGTGGGCAGATCACTTGAGCCCAGGAGTTCAAGACCAGCCTAGGCAATGTGGCAAAACCCCAGCTCTACAGAAAATACAAAAATTAGCTGGGCATCGTGGCACATGCATGTAGTCCCAGCTTCCCATGAGGCTGAGATGGGAAGGATGGCTTGAGCCTGGGAGGTCAAAGCTGTAGTAAGGCAAGACCATGCCACTGCACTTCACCCTGGGCAACAGTGTGAGACCCTGTTTCAAAAAAATTAATTAATAAATAAAAATCAGAATTAACTGGAATCAGGTTTTAGATTTTGAGAAATTTTTGAATGAGGAATAAGTTTACCTTTACCATTTGCCTTCACTCTTAGTTAGCAGGAAAAGGCCCTACAGTTTAATGGCTCTTTTTAAGAGGATTTTGATTTCACGTTATTTCTGACAGTACAACATTAATTCTTTAATTCGTCTTTTCTCTCTCTCCTGTGCTCATTCTTTTTTCTCTTTCACTCTTTGGCTTACCTTAAAGTCTTCACCTTTCAATGGCAAGTAATAATGACACTCAGCGTGAAACAGTTAAGAAACTTTGTAGGCTTTTGTTTTTCTTTATTTCAAACTCTAGTGTTCCTCTGAAGATGGCTGGGCTGGTGGCTCACGCCTGTAATCCCAGCAGTTTGGGAGGCCGAGGCAGGAGAATTGCTTGAGCCCAGGAGTTTGAGACCAGCCTGGGCAGTATGGCAAGACCTCCATCTCTACAAAAAGTTGTTTAAAAAATTAGCCAGTTGGCTGGGCATGGTGGTGGCTCACGCCTGTAATCTCAGTGTTTTGGGTGGCCTAGGCAGGCGGATCACCTGAGGTTGGTAGTTCGAGACCAGCCTGACCAACATGGAGAAACCCTGTCTCTACTAAAAAATACAAAATTAGCTGGGCATGGTGGCGTATGCCTGCAGTCCCAGCTACACGGGAGGCTGAGGCAGGAGAATCACTTGAACCTGGGGGATGGAGGTTGCGGTGAGCCGAGATCACGCCATTGCACTCTAGTCTGGTCAACAAGAGTAAAAGTCCATCTCAAAAAAAAAGAAAAAGAAATTAGCCAGGTGCCATGGCATGTACCTGTAATCTCAGCCACTTGGAAGACTGAGGCAGAAGGATCACTTGAGCCCAAGAGGTTGAGGCTGCAGTAAGCCTTGATCAAGCCACTGCGCTCCAACTTGGGTGACAGCAAGACCCTGTCTTGAAAAAAAGAATTTGCTGTTAGGTCATGCTGTTTTGTAGTAGTGATTCTCTATGATTAGCTAGTAATTCACTGATGATTTATTTAAAGAAATGGCATCAGAACCAACAAGCTCAGTGTTTTTTGTTTGTTAATGTTTGCATTTTCTATAACTTTGCATGTTAAAACGTTTAACAAACTGTATTAAAATCCCAGAGAGATTGTCAGACTGTCTTTTGCTATTATAATTGAATTTAGGATGAATAGAGTGAACTTAATTATAGATTCACTTTATTGTGTTTGGTTACAGTAACAATTGCTCGAGCAATTGAACTAAAACATGCTCCTGGACTAATTGCTGCACTGGCGTATGAAACAGCCAATTTCTATCAAAAAGCTGGTAAGCTTCTAATTCTGTTGTTACATTTTTTAGTCTTTAGCTTTTCAGATTTATTTGATCTTGAATTAATAGGGAACAAAACAAAAGGTTTCTCAGATTCTGTCATTATTTGCAAAACTGGAGTAATACTTTATCGCATTTAAAATAGAACTGTTCATGTTTAGTATGCTGCATAACTTATAATGGAAGGGAAAACTAGTGATGTCTAATAAAATTATACAGCATTTTTGGCTTAAAATTTTTTTTTTGGTCTTTATAGCAATCTTATAGTTACTATGCTTTAGACAAGAATCCGAAATCCAGAGAGTTAACTGACCTGTAATTTAACTGCTAGAAAGTGGGAGATTGGGCATAGAACACAGCTACTGTGATAAGCCTATTACTCTTCATTTACTTATTTAGGAAACATGCATGTATTTTTATTTATGGGATAGTTACTGTTTTTGTTGCTAAGGAGAGGTAAATAGAAAAGATTTGCAGTTTAGGGAAGAAGAACATGTCACCCCATTATTAAATCCTGAAGTAAGACACCACAGCAGTGAATTAGGAACTTTAACAAACTGGGCATGCTAGAGAAGGACTCTAGAAGAAGATGCTTTAGTCTTATTGTGAAGTGTAAATAAAAATCTTATGTTCCCTAGGAAGCTTTAGAGTTTGGGTGCAGAATTCTATAGTAAGTACAGACATAAGAAAGAACTTAGCACATTCTGGAAACTTCAGACAGTTGCTCTTACCTGAAACACAAGATGAGTGGTAGGAGAAAAGTTTGAAAAAGTATGCTTGCTTGGGAATCAAACATTGGTTTGTAAGCCTTTGACCTTTCATTCTGTAGACACTTGGGATCTGTTAGAATACTAAAAGGCTGACTTGATTGGATTTGAATTTAAGGAAGGTCCCTATAGTTGCAGTATTAGAGATAGGCTTGCTTCATGAAGGAGTAATAGGCTAACAACTTAGCACTTAAGAAATTCTTCAAGTTTGTGAAGGAAATGATGAAAGCTTTGGCAAATACAGCAAAGTAGCAAATAGGAAAAAATAGATTTGAGAGATATTTGGTAGAAGGATATGTGAGTGAATATGTGTGTGTGTTATATAAAATTCAGTGATGGGGGTGGAGAGGAGAGTATCCTATTTCTGACTTGAGTGACTAGTCTACTATTTGCTTTGCTATATTATATACGTTTTTTAAATTAGCTAATACAACGGTATAAACAGTATTCACTTGGAAGTTCTTGGTCACAATCTGTTTTTATCATTATCTTTAACTTAAAGTCATATTAACCATCAAATCAAAGAGCTGCTATAGTATTTAACCAATCATGTGTAACTGAAAGTATAGGTTTGGGAAAATCAAGTAAAGGTGTTTTTTTAAAAAAAAATTAAATTATTGAGTTTTAGACTTGAATGGCATTCTTTCTGCTTTTATCATCAGAACACATGAACTAAAAGTCTTCTAGTGAATCAGGATGAAATTATATTTTGCTTTTTAAAATGTAACTTTAGATCATACTTTATCCAGTTTGGAGCCTGCATATTCTGCCAAATGGAGAAAATATCTTCACTTGAAGATGTGTTTCTACACAGCTTATGTAAGTATTCATAATGCTAAAAACAATGTAAATTATTGTTTCTCCAGTCCTTGGAGTGCCAGGTCTCTCTTCTCACCAGAGTCTTTCATTAGCATTTTACAAATAATGGACAGCTAACTCTCAGTAAATGTTCACTGAGAGTCAGTGCAACCATTGTGAACTAAAGTGGGTGGAAAGAGATGATGTAGGATTGTAGAAGTGGATTATAGCAATAGAATTATTGTTTGATTCAAAACCCACTTTCAGCATACTTAATGAAATTCTTTCAATTGTTTCATTCTATGCATTGAGAAACATATTTACTAATTCTAATATGAAGGCATACCACACAATATATCACCTAGCTTAGTGAAGAACCATCAATAAACATCATTTTGGAAGTTACGTATCAGTCTGTTATACCCACCAAACTTAATTGTTTTATTAATTAGAATATCATATGAGAGATCATCGAAAACCTTTTTCAGGTCTGAGTAGATAATATTTCTTATGCCTCCTTCTTCCTCTGCATTAGCACAGTTTCCTCCTTTATCTACTATTTCCTAATTTTAAATACAGATTTCGTCAGATAACTTTTGCTCAGTACATGGTTAGAAGGCTGTTTTGGCTCAAGACTTGACATATTTCCACCTTTTCTATGAACAAAGGTTGGAGAAGAGCTTACTCAAGTAAAGAAATGTAAGGGATTGCATTGATACTTCAGTGTGTGAAGGTACTAATTTATCTGATAGATACGTAAAACAATAATAGGGGAAAGCATCTTGAAGGGAGAGAATGAATAAAAATTTGTTTATTTCATCAGGCTTACTGTTACCATGGTGAGACCTTATTGGCTAGTGATAAGTGCGGTGAAGCAATCAGGTCTCTCCAAGAAGCAGAAAAATGTGAGTATTCCTGCCAGAAGATTAACTCCCCTTTAAAAAACAAATGACTTTATCACAAAAGGGAATATGTGCTTAAAGAGATTTTGGCTGAGTTCATGAAAGGGAAATGGAAATGGGTGACGTAATTGGAGAAAAGAAAAAAATGTTTCAAAGACCTAGAACCGTAGAAAATCCACACCTTCTACTTACAGTATTATTATTGGTATTGCTGTTATGTTAGGTAAAGAGCAGTAAATGTCTTACCACCTCCAATTTAAAGCCTTATAGGGATAAATGGGCCATGTTAATTATAATCAAAAGACTTTATATCTCTTTCACATGCAGTGTATGCAAAGGCAGAAGCACTGTGTAAAGAATATGGAGAAACCAAAGGACCTGGACCAACAGTCAAACCTTCAGGACATCTATTCTTTCGGAAACTTGGAAACCTTGTGAAGAACACCTTAGAAAAATGTCAGAGAGAAAATGGATTTATGTGAGTACAGCTTAATATTATTTTGGTAATATTAATATTATTGATATTGATTTATAATTAAAATACTAATATTTTAGTAATACCATTTTTGTTAGTCTCTATTCCCAAAAGTTTTATGCTGAATAGCACTTATGGGCTAGGTGTGGTGGCTCACAACTGTAATCCCAGCACTCTGGGAGGCCAAGGTGGGTGAATCCCTTGAGCCCAGAAGTTTGAGACCAGCCTGGGCAACTTGGCAAAACCTGTCTTTACAGAAAATATAAATTAGCTGGGCATGGTGGCACACGTCTGTAATCCAAGCTACTCAGGAGGATGAGGTGGGAGAATCATCTGAGGCTGGGAAGTCAAGGCTGCACTGAGCCATTATTGAGTCATGTCACTCCTGCCTGGGCAAGAGTGAGGCACTGTCTCAAATATATATAGTGTTTACATTTCACATTAATTTTCTCTTTAAATTGGTGATAAAGTTCAATTGTGTAGGGCCTTTTATTCTACTTAGGATGATAATATATAAAAGCAGACTTTGAAATTAAAACATGAGTTGTTAACATAGAGTTCACTTCATTAGGACACTCACAGTATCCTGATTTTCTCTTAACTCTGTTTCCCTGCCGTTCTTCCTCCATATGTTTTAAATATATCTTCTCAACTTCCTTTGCATATTCATCTCACTCTGGTTTCAGCTACCTATAAAGAAGGAAAATAAATTTTCTCTCCAGTTTTTCTTGTTTTTTTTTTCAAGAGGTTTTCCATTATTAAATCAGTGCTGTTCAAACTGTAGATCATCATCTGTGTAGGTGGGTAGACTCAATCTCATTCCCGCTTTTATCTCCTTACACTCTTCCCCTTATATTCTTCATCTAGTCATACTGAGCTTTTCACTTCCTTAAACATGCCTAGTTCATCTTTAATCACTTCCTTTGGAAGTAACTGAACTTAATTCTGGGTTAATTCCCCTTGTCTGCATTCTCATGGCACTCTACATCCATGGTAGCTCCAGTTGCATTGCATTGTAATTGACAAAATTTCTTGACTTTTTCGCTTTCCTACATGAGGCAGAACAACCTCTTATCCATCATTAAATTGTCATTGTCCCAAACATAACCTTGAACATACTAGGCACTCAAATAATGAACAAATGAATGAATTGCTATTTAAATTACTTTTTGCAGTTACTTTCAAAAAATTCCAACAGAAGCCCCACAGCTGGAACTCAAAGCAAATTATGGTCTCGTAGAGCCTGTACCTTTCGAATTTCCTCCTACAAGCGCTCAGTGGACACCAGAAACATTGGCTGCATTTGATCTCACCAAAAGACCCAAGGACGACAGTGTATGAGATTTTTTTTTCTCTCTCCCATTCACAGAAGTTGAAAGGAAATTTCAGAGTTCGCATTTTGATATTTTTCTCTAAATAGATACATATCTTTGTCTAAATGTTAAGTTAGCTAGTTATGGTGCTTAGTGTAATCTGTGGTAGAACACTCTCAGAGATAAGACCTCTAAGCCTTAAATGTCTTCTGATTTTCTACATAATGACATTCTTTTCAACACATTATCTTGCCTCTTTACAACTTGTCAGTACCTCCTTTAAGAAGAATGTGGGAGAAAAGATCATCCATGTTTGTATTGCTATGGCAATACTCTGTTTTAGCAAATTGCAGAGTGTTTGAAGATTTGGCCTAATTTCAGTATTCTGTGAATCCAGGGGCAAAATAAGAATGCTTTTATTTATTGGTATCTAAGTACATCTTGGTGTTCTAAATCAAATGGTAAATTAAGTGGAAATTTTGAGGTCTAACTACCAAAAGACTAGGGATCTGTGACAAATGAACAGGAAATATTTTATAGCCATTGCTCTTTTCTTGAGATTGAGTTGTATTTATATAATTTCCTTTCCATATTAAAATTTATTCCTTAAAATAACTATATTATGTTCAGCTATAAAATAATGCCCTAAGAGACAGCCTATTACTGTCATAAGTTATGTCTAAGCTTTAGGGTTCTACATGTATAGATAGTTCACTTAGAAAAGAGCATGGAGTAGGAGTACCAGTATTTTGATTTTTGCCTACCTAACTAGGTTTTCATCTCTACTGAAATGTTGTTTTCTGATTATATCTTAAAATGAATTGGTCTATAGTTTCTGGAAATAGCTTTGTCAGTATCCATGTTATATAATTTAATATAGCATCTTTTAAAAGTCTGAAGTGGAAAAGATTTGGTGTTTGTTTTCTCAATCTTAGTAAACTGTGGTTTTTTTCTCCCTAGACTAAACCCAAACCAGAAGAAGAAGTGAAACCCGTGAAAGAACCAGATATCAAACCTCAAAAGGACACTGGGTGCTACATCTCCTAAAATATTCCTGAAATACAGTTTGCACTTAGAATTTCTCTAACAGGAGATAAGATAAACCACAGAATTTCCGTTCTTATTTCTCAAAATGATTTCTCTGAAGCTTGTAGAATAACTATTACATTCAGAGGGTTATCTGCCTTCAGCTTACTTGTTTTTGATTTTTAATACAGTGGAGATGTTTCTTGCTTTGTTTTCAGCCTCTCCTTTTTAATCAGGACAACATTTGAAAGATTTTATTGTGCCTCTAAAGGGTATATTTGGGGGTTGGGTCTTTTTATTAAACTCTGGATAGTAATAAGTTTCAGGTCAATATAGGCCCAAATCATGTGGTTTCAGGTATGTTTTTCTTTTTCTTTTTTTTTGTTTTTTTGAGGCGGAGTCTCCCTCTGTTGCCCAGGCTGGAGTGCAGGGGCACGATCGTGGCTCACTGCAACCCTCCGCCTCCTGGATTCAAGTGATTCATTCCTGCCTCAGCCTCCCTAGTAGCTGGGATTACAGGCATGTACCACCACACCCAGATAGTTTTTGTATTTTTAGTAGAGATGTCATTTCACCATGTTGTCAGGCTAGTCTCGAACTCCTGACCTCAACTGATCTGCCCACCTTGGCCTCCCAAAGTGCTGGGATTACAGACGTGAGCCACTGCACCTGGCCTCAGATATGTTTTTCTGTCTACACACAAAAAAATTTATTTTCCTTCCTCTTACTTGATATCAGAATAATGACAGGAATCAGTTTTTAACAGAGATAGTTTTTCCATTTCTCCATTGTGTTAATCAGAGCACAGACTTACATCCTCAGTCATTTATCTTTTCTGGTGGGGGATAAAAAGTCACTTAAAGATGAGAAAATTATCACACCAAATCCTTTACATATGTTAGAATCAATAATTTACTAAAAAATCAGTTTTTATAGGTATGTTGGGACCTTATCCAAGAACTTATCCCTGTTCCAGTAGCCCTGTGCTTCGTTCAGTATCAGTAACCCTGCAATGATTTTTACAAATATCTTTTCTAGTGGGTTTTTTACTTAGAGGACAGAACTTTGTAATAGCTCTTAATGTTTATATATAAGAGAAGACAGAATGGAAAATGTTTTTTGAAGTCAAATATTGCATGTTGTAAAGAAAAAACTTTAAACTTAAATGAGTAGGTTGTCCTGAATTACACTGGTAACTCTACTTCTTTATTAAAGAAGTTATAGTAAGATGCCTTTGTTACCTGATTTCAGTGTACATTGTTTTTATGTGGTTTTCTGATAATGTCCTGTCAGAATTGTATTGGTTTAGGCCAAAGGCCATAGCAAAAACAGAGAACAAATATAGATACAATATGATCTTAAAAATAGATTGTAACATTTTAAACAATTAGTTTAGTAATTTGGGAAATAGTGGATGCATAATACTTTTAACAGAAGTCACACATCTGTAGGTTTATCTTTTGATTATTCTCCTGGGTCATTAGATAATTTTTCTATTATAAGTGACAGATTGATTCACTTAATATAAATAATACAAGTAGCATACACTAAAAGCTTACTGTGTGCCAGATACTGTGCTGGACACTTACATAGATAAGCTATTGAATCCACAAAGCAGCCCTGTGAGAAATAAATAAAATCTGCATAAAGTGTTGAAATAGGAATATGCATTTCATTATGAAAAATGAGTAATTATGCCAATCTGAATCAATATAGCATTCAAATAAGTGATTACTTAAATCATATATCATAGTTTACACTCCTTAAAAAAAGGTACATAAATTCAGTGAGGTTTTTTTCTTAACATATAGAAATACTAAATACTGCTTGCAACATAATATTAATATTTGAAGCTGTAGTTTCCGGAATAAGTGGAGTAATAACTAAACAGGCATTTAATTTTATTTCAGTATCTATGGAAAAAATACTTCATTACATCTCACTCTATTTTATGTTGTCTTTATTACAAAATCACTTGTCTATTTGTTGTGTGCCACTTACTGACAAAACTTTAAACAGTACTTGATGCCAGCTCTTTACTCTCTGGCTGTGGGACCTATTTCTCTTAGGTACTTGTGCTTATTAATCTACTTACTAAATTTTCACATTGACAGTTTTGGGAATGATACTACCATATCTGAAATGGAAAATGTAATATGCTTAGTACTTCTGTAAAATACAGCAATACTAGTATTACTTTACATCAGTAGGCATCTTTTACGTGAGCAGATAAATATTTTGTTGACTCAGCAAAAGTAACACTTTGTGACTAAAATATCCCATTATATATAATGTTTTTTGAAATGTTCGAAATTTTGGGAAATTATCACATATCTAGAAGTTGCATGAAGGTTATAGAGAGATGTAACTATTTGTTAACTATTACATGGATTTCATACTTGGCAGTGACAACTAACGTTACTTCAGCTAAAAGTGTATAATGGGTTATCTTTTTATTTATGAAAATAAAAGTAATTTTACTTACAATTTCATTGAGATCTTTCATTTTCGACAAATATTTTTATACTTACTAAGCCAGTAACAGTTAAAACAGTGCAAAATTATTCTTCACAGTAATGTTCTAAAATGACAGATAACTAGGCATGGTGGCTCACGCCTATAATGCCAGCACTTCAGGAGGCTGGGGCAGGAGGATTGCTTGAGCCCAGGAGTTGAGACCAGCCTGGACAACGTGGTGAAACCCTGTCTCTGCAAAAAATAAAAAATTCGCTGAGTGTGGTGGTACGTGCAGTGAACCATAGTCATGCCACTGCACTCCAGCCTGGGCGACAGAGTGAGGCCCTGCCTCAAAAAAAATAAAATGACAGATACATTTGCATCAATTGTTTTATGCTTCATGGGTTCATTAAATATTCAACACTCCTTGACTTGTTCAGTTTCTACTTATGTTTATTGGTACCTATCACTTCTTAACCTCAAAGGATTTTGATTGGCCTGTTTATGTCTCATGCTTAGTAAAATCCAACATGATGCAGTATTTGTACTATGGTATGCTAAGCTAAAGAGTTTATCATTGTACAATAATCTGTAGAAAACTTTATTCCTTGCAAACTTGAGGCAGCACTTTTAGCGTTGTATAAATGCATGCAGAAATAAAACCATATGCAGAATTCTTTTAGAATTAGAGTAATCATGCTTTAGAAAATACTGCCTTTCTTATCTCTTAATGTGTGTAAAATAAACTTGGAATATCACTTTGGGTTACCATAAGTTTGTATCTAAAGATTTTATTTGACATTTGAATAATTTGTTTAAAATTTAAATTTTTATTTAAGAGTGTTGTAATAATAAAGGGATCAAAATAGTTAATCTGGAAGGGGAGTTGACAAATTATAAAACATAAAACTATATTTGTGCATATTCAAAAAGCCAGAGCTATCATATCAGCAATTTAATGTATCTAATGCTTGTGATTTTCTTGAGGTTGGTAGAAGCTTACATAGTCACTTTCAGAGCACTCCCCTGAGATGTCAGACTTGAATTTGCTTCTCTAATGCAGAGCTTCTCAAGTGGTTTGTCTCGAGGCCTTCTGGGTGGCTAGCTGGGCAGCACTTAAGGTGGCTGGAGCTCCCAGGCTGGTCGCCTCCAGAATTCCAAACAATTTTCTCTATGTGCCATGATGTAAAAAATGTTGGGAAACACTACAGAGGGACAGGCATGCAGGCAGTGGGTTGCATGTGTGTGGTTTAATACTGAAAATAAGGATACAAAAATCCTGCCAGGTGATGCTCTGTAATTCTCAAGGAACAGCAGTGATTTATTTCACATTTTTCCTCACTCTGCCCTTGCCCCTGACACACACACTGCAAGTCACTGATTGGAGCAGGCCAGTTCCCTCAGGCAAAGGGGCCTAGAGAAATGTCAGTGAATACTGTGCTGTGAAACTGCATCCTGAGGTGCACAGTGGGGCTTTGGCTCTCCTGTCACCAGGGGTTTGACCTTCAGCCACCTCAGGAAGAAGGAAAGGTGGAAGCAGGAAGGGGGACCGGCAGCTCTGGGCAAGCAACGCTCATTAGCTCCAGTGTAATGATGCAACGTCAGTTCTCAGCTGAATGTTAGCATAGTCCATTTGAAAACATTTTCTAGATCAATGAAAATGGCCAAGAACTCTAGAAAAATGTTTAAGTGTTATATACTTAAAATAGTATATTTGCTTATTGAAACTAAATGCCAAGATGTAGAACTAGTGTGTTATTTTCTTGATACAGATTACAATGCTGTGTTTCAGTGAAGGAGCTAATTAAAATGAAATGATTCGTACATAGATGTAATCAGAAAAATCTTAAATGAAGATAGTCATTTCTAAAGCAGAAAAGAAAGACAGTTACAAGCCTGCTCTTATTTTTCCAATCTGTTATATACTTCCTCCCACCCATTAACATTAACTACATGTATGATTCATTTGTTAAACAAATACTGAGTTCCAGCTATGTGTAAGGCATTGTAGGGGCAGAAGATACAGCAGTGAACATAACAGGTAAAACCCTCCCCTTCTGCCAAGGAGCGGGACAGGGAGGAGAGCGAAGACAGAGATACGTGGAATATGAAGTGTTCAGCGTTGGTAAGTGCTAAGGAGAAAAAATGAAACAGGAGGTAAGATGCAGAAGGTGGTGGTGAAGGCAATGGGAGGTTGCCTTGAAAGTGGAACTCAGCATAGTCTCCATTTGAGTTAAAGACTGGAAATGAGCAAGGAAACAGTCTAAGGAAAGAAAGACTAATAGAGCAGTCAGCACAGAGCTCTCTGCAGAGAGAGAAGGCGGACCTGTGTGGTCAAGGAATTGCAGTAAGAAGGCCCGTGTGGTTCGAGTGATGTCAGTGGAGGGAGAGTAGTACAAGATGGCATCAGAAAACTCATAAGGGTTAAATATACAGCCTTTTAGGCCATTGTGAGGACTTTGGCTTTCATTCTAGGTGAGACGGGAACCCACTAGAGAGTTTTAAGCAAATAAATGACATGATCTCACTTAGGATTTAACAATTCTGGCTCCTTTTCGAGCATAGACTGGAGGGGGTCAATTAGGAGGCCGCTGCAATAACTAGGTGAGAGACGATAGCAAGGGTGAGAGATGATAGACCGGGGTGGTGGCAGTGGAGTAATGAAAAGTATGATTCCAGAAATATCCAAGAGGATTTCCTGGCAGATTTGATGTGAGGTGTGATTAAAGAAGAGCCAAGAATGACTTTAGTGTAGTTGACCTAATCAACTGGAAGTTGCCATTTATTGAGATGAGAAGGCTGCTAGAAGAGTAGAGGTAAATGTGTGAGTATGTGCATGTTGGGGGAATGGAGGGAGAGTTGCACTGACAGCGTGAGCAAAGATTTAGACAAATTAGGATTGAGATGTCCATTAGATAACTAAGAAGAGATGTCAAGCAGGTAGTTGGATCTGTGAGATTCAGGGAAAAAGACTGACCTGGAGAATATAAATGTTAGAATCATCTGTGTGTGGATAGTATTGAAAACCATAGGGCCAAAGGAGATCATCAAGAAAGCAGACAGAAAAGAGAAGAAGTCCAATCATTGAGCCCTGGAGTAATACAATATTTAAAAGGTCAGAGAGATTATATGGCCTGTTAATTACATTACATACTTAGGAACTATCCTTCATAATCTATATTTGGGGTTTTTAAGAAACAAAATGTAGAAGTGCTCCCAAGAATTAAACTGAGCCGGGTGCGGTGGCTCATGCCTATAATCCCAGCACTTTGGGAGGCTGAGTCAGGAGGATTGAGTCCAGAAGTTCAAGACCAGCCTGGGCAATATAGGAAGACTTCATCTCTACAAAAACTCCAAAAAAAAAAAGAAAAGAAAAGAAAGGCTGGGCTTGTGGCACATACCTGTGGGAGGTTGAGGTTGCACCACTGCACTCCAGCCTGGGCAAAAGCAAGACCGTGTCTCAAAATAAAGAAAAAAATTAAACTGAAGCCCAAAGAAGATCACTTACAAAACATCCACGTCTAGGTGTGAAGCTAGCAGTTCTCCCAAGGTTTTTGTAAGTAAGTTGAGTTCCAAGCTGTTCACTATTGAGGCCCCTCTGTGTGACATGCACTGATTACAAAGATGAATTTTGCATAGCATATTCTAAAATGCCCATTAGGTGGCAGAAAAACATTCAGTAAACCAGCTGTGAGCTAGCTAGTGTTCACTCTTGTGCTCATTCACAGTCTCTCTCCACTCCCCTCCAACCTCCCAAAGAGTCCTCTGAACTTAAAGATGTGTATGGCTATTAATGCACAACACCATAATCATGAAGAACGAAGACTGGTATTTTCTTCAGAGAGCCAACAGATATCATCAGTCTGTAAGCTAATAGAGGCAAACCAGGTGTACAGGGGATGAGGGTGTGTGTGTTTCATTTGGTTTGGAAATGTATGAATTTGGACAGTCTTAAGAGGAGTAAATTGACTATAATGAGACTCTTAGGCCTTATTTTTAAACGTTTGTTATTTAAGTTTTTTAGCTTGGGGCAGGGTGAAGAAGTGTTCAGAAAGTCAAAAGCAAGAAAGCCTCTTGGAAAAAAAATAGACAAGATGTCTTACAACTAGCCTGATGTTTAAGCTTTCTGTAATACACTGAATCCCTAAATCACAAGTCTCTTTCTGTTTCAGTTTCAAAGTTTCTTCTTTTCTCACTCTCTTTAGGGCACTGGTCCCCAAACTTGCCTGAACATTGGGATGACCTGACAGCTTCAAAAAATACTAGGGCCTGAGTTCCACCCACAGAGATTGTGATTTAAGTGGTCTGAGGTGTGGCCTGTCTTTGAAATTATTTAAAAGACCCCCAGATGATTCTCATAACAAAATAATTTTGAGAACCACTGGGCTTAGCTAATATTGGATGTGTAAATATTGACCTTCCCACAACTCAAACATGTTCCACCCTGTAAGACACGCAAGAGAACACTTCCACGTCAGCATATCCAAACGCACTGTATGGCCTCAGCCTACAGAACCCTTAACTCTTAACTTTATCATCTATTGAACAATTTATAACATCAAAACTTGTACTACTTTCAACATCACTAATTAATGAAAAATACAGAGGAATCATGTAAGTTACTTTTTGAAAATGTTTTATTTTCTTTTGTTTGTTGCAGAATGTGTTTTGTTTCTTATGGCACTGATAGTATTTATTTGTGCAATAGTATTATGCTTAACATATTGTTGATCTTACATACCAAATTAAAATGGGTATTTTTTGCTGCTCTTCATCATCAGAAACTAAATGATAACACCTCTTCCTACTTCTTACTGCGGCTTTTCTATGATACACCATCACTAAGTCAGGGGAAACCATGTGTACCATTCAGAGGTCCCCAGACAGGGCAGATATCACATCATCTTGCTGTGGATGACAGATGTAACCTTTGGCAGATCTTTTGCAACTCTGACCTTTGACAAAGGCATTAAACTCAGCATTGTAGCAATAAGATTTGGTGATTTATTTGTACATATATATATAAGAGTATGCATGTATGAATATATATGTGTGTGTATTCAATCATGTTTGCATTGCCCGTAAAATATTTTTAAAATTTGATCTGCTAGTCTTCATTTTAATGGATGGCTGGCAATCCATTTGCATTTATTATGATTATTGACTTACTTGGAATTAATGCTAATATTTTATTTAGTGTTTCTTTTAATCATGATTTTTCTTTACTGTTTCTTCTTTCTTGCCTTCTTTCAGAGTGTTTCTTTTCTTTTTTATTTTCTTCTGCTGGCTTTGGAGCTATACATTCTAATTCCATTATTTGTCTATTTACCTTTCAACTGTTAATATGCATACTTAACAACATATCTTATCCAGCCTATCCCAAAACAATACTTAGAAGTCAGTTCACATTTTTTGTTATTATCTAATACTTAATACTGTTTTGTCTTTATACTGTCCCCACCAAAATAGCGTTTTTGGTTTTTGTTTTTTGTTTTGTTTTTGAGACGGAGTCTCGCTCTGTCACCCAGGCTAGCGTGCAGTGGCACCATCTCGGCTCACTGCAAGGTCCGCCTCCTGGGTTCAAGCGATTCTCCTGCCTCAGCCTCCCGAGTAGCTGGGACAGGCACCCGCCACCACGCCTGGCTAATTTTCTGTATTTTCAGTAGAGATGGGGTTTCACCATGTTAGCCAGGATGGTCTCCATCTGCTGGCCTCGTGATCCACCCGCCTTGGCCTCCCAAAGTGCTGGGATTACAGGCGTGAGCCACCGCGCCTGGGTTTGTTATCCTGTTTACTAATTTTTTACTTATATTTATTGCATCTCACTTTTTTTTTTTTTTTTTTTTTTTGAGACAGAGTCTTGCTCTGTCACCCAGGCTGGAGTGAAGTGGTGCAATCTCAACTCACTGCAACCTCCGCCTCCTGGGTTCAAGCGATCCTCCCACCTCAGACTCCTGATTATCTGGGACTACAGGCACATGCTCCCAAGTCCGGCTAATATTTTTGTGTTTTTTTTAGTACAGACGGATTTTCAGCATGTTGGCCAGGATGATATTGAACTCCTGGCCCAGCCTTGCCCTCCCAAAGTGCTGGGATGATAGGCATGAGCCACCATGCTTGGGACATCTTACTTTTTCTTACCTCTGGGTTTAGTTTTCTTCTTCTTGACATAGAATTTCCTATTATTAATCTTTCAATAAAGATGCCAGAATGGTTAATGCTCAGTTTTTGTAGGTCTGAATATATTATTACGTTACTCCCACTTACTGTTTAGCTGGATATTGAACTCTTTTTTTTTTTTTTTGAGATGGTATCTTCTGTCTCCCAGGCTAGAGTGCAGTGGCACAATCGCTGCTCACTACAACCTCACCTCACACTCCCAGACTCAAGCAAATCTCTCACCTCAGTCTCCCAAGCAGCTGGAACAACAGGCATGCACCACCTTGCTCAACTCTTTCTCTTTCTTCCCTTCTTCACTCCCCTCCCTTCCTTCCTTCCTTCCTTCCTTCCTTCCTTCCTTCCTTCCTTCCTTCCTTCCTTCCTTCCTTCCTTCCTTCCTCTCTCTCCTTCTCTCTCTCTCTCTGTCTTCTCTCTCTCTCTCTCTCTCTCTCTGTCTCTCTCTCTCTCTCTCTCTCTCTCTCTCTCTCGTAGAGACAAGGTCTCACAATGTTGCCCAGACTGGTCTCAAACTCATGGCCTCAAGTGAGTCTCTTGCCTCAACCTCCGAAAGTGCTGGGATTATAAGTGTGAGCCACAGCACCCAGCCTGAATTCACTTCTGAAACTTCTATTAGATGTACTGAACTTTCTCATCTATTCTTTTTATCACCTAACGTTTCTTTCACATTAAATATGTATCTCTTTTTCTCTCACCCCACACTCCAACATAAATTATACTATATTGTGAGAGCTTTTCTCAGATTTTTTCATATGCTTAATCAATATCCAACTTGCCACTATGTGACAATATTTTTTTTATGCAATTTTTTTCTGCAGTTTTTCTGACTTTTTCAAGTCAACCTTCTTTTGGGATTTTATATTTTGCCTCTTTTATGTTTTTGAATATATTAGGTTGGTGCAAAAGTAATTGTGGTTTATCCATGACTTTTAATGGCAAAAAATGGAATTCCTTTTGCACCAACCTAATATTAAGCACACTAATTTTAAAGCTTCCTGTTGTCCTATCATTCCTAATTCTCAGGTGAGGATTTCCAGTTTTCTCATCAGCTGAACCTTCCTCCAGATGCTTAGTTTCCTCATGTAGTTTGTAAGTTTTTACAGTAAGCACATCCTCAGCAGGCATTTGCTGGGGGTTTTGTTTGATTTTGTTTTTGTTTTTTGATACAGAGTCGCATTCTGTCGCCTAGGCTGGAATGCAATGGCATGATCTCGGTTCACTGCAACCTCCGCCTCCTGGGATCAAGCAATTCTGGTGCCTCAGCCTCCCGATTAGCTGGAATTATAGGCTCCTGCCACCATGCCTGGCTAATTTTTTATTTTTTGTGGAGGTGGGGTTTCACCATGTTGGCCAGGCTGGTCTGGAACTCGTGACCTCATGCGATCCACCCGCCTTGCCCTCCCAAAGTGCTGGGATTACAGGCGTGAGCCACCTTGCCCAGCCAGGAATTGTTTTTAGTGGAGATTAAGTATACCGTGTCTTGTTGAATTATTCCTCCAAGATGACTTTGTACTTGGCATCTGACAGAGTTCAGTGGATTACACTGCCTTTAGTTCACTCAGGTTTATCTTAGGTTTTCACAGCATATGAGGACTATGAATTTGGGCCACACACCAGCATGTGGTACTGGCGGGGGTTTCCAATTTTTTTAGGTGACTATTTCTACCCTTGTTGCTAGGAGATAGCAAATACTTTGCTACTTTTGCAAGCCAGGGGATAGATTTTCCTGTCCATATTTTATAGATAAGATAGTATTTTATTATCTTAGTTTTATGCAGGTGGCTTCATTTCAGCTCTCCACACTCATGGGATCTGAGATTTGGACTTTCCTCTCTCTATGGGTATTAAAACTCCAGCCCCAAGGCCTATATCTGGTTCCAAACACCTCAACAACCATCTTGGCTTCAGCTCATACTTACAGTTTTGTTCTTTCTCTTATTCTGACATCTAGACTGGCTGACTTGCTTTCAACCCCCTGCCCCTCTCTCTCTCATCTCTATCCCTAGGGCTATCTCTTTTTTCTACTTCCTTGGTGTACTTTTGATTTAACGTTTTCATTTAATTTCATCCAGCATTTCTGCGTGTTTGGAATAGGAAGAATTATTCTACATCAGTTCAGCCATATTTGTTGATATAATCTTAAAATATCTTAAATATTAATTAAAACAATATGAGACCAGGCGTAGTGGCTCACGCCTGTAATCCCAGCCGAGGGATACAGGAGGCCGAGGAGGGTGGATCACCTGAGGTCAGGAGTTTGAGATCAGCCTGGCCAACATGGTGAAACCCCGTCTCTACTAAATATACAAAAAATTAGCCAGGGGTGGTGGTGGGTGCCTGTAGTCCCACCTATTCAGGAGGCTGAGGCAGGAGAATCACTTGAACCTGGAAGGCAGAGGTTGCAGTGAGCCAAGACCGTGCCATTGCACTCCAGCCTGGGCAACAAGAGTGAAACTTCGTTTCAAAAAAAAAAAAAAAAGCAACAATACATGTGTACATATGCTTACAACACTGGAATACTGCCTGACATATACACTGCTAAGTAAATTATAGGTACTTAATAATAGCCAGCTTTTATTAACCAGTTACCATTTGCTAAGAATTGTTCTAACTTCTTTATTTATCTTTACTCATTTACTCTTCATAACAATTTTATAAGGTTGCACTGTATCATTTCATACTATTATTTTATAGATGAGAAAACCAAGACACTGGGATATTAAATAATGGGATTTTAAATCCAGGAAGTCTGTCTCCAAAGCTTTCCAGCTATATTAAGTTATACCTTAAATATAATAAAATGAACTAATTTTAAGTGTAGAATTTGAATCATTTTGACACATTATACAGTCAAGTAACCAACATTATGATCATGATATCTATTAGAACATTTCCATCTCCCCAAAAAGCTCCCTCTGTCACTTTATAGTTAATCTTAACCCCCTACCCACTCTCCCCTAGCAAACAGTGATCTGTTTTCTACTATAATTTTGCCTTTTCTAAATTTCTACATACATAGAATTATATACTATGCAGTGTCTGGCTTCTTTTGCTTAGCATAATACATTTGAGAGTCACTTACAGTGTTGCAAATATTCATTATTTATTACTTTTAATTGGTGAAGAGTATTCCATTAAATATATGGACCACATTTTGTTTATCCATCATCAATTGATGGACATTGAGTTGACTCCAGTTTGGGGCGTTCACAAATAAAACTGCTACGAATATTTCCATACAAATCTTTAGGGAGATATATGTTTTCATTTCTCTTGGATAAATATCTAGATGTGAAATTACAAGATTTTATGTTTAACTTTTAACAGCCCAGGCGTAGTGGCTCACATCTGTAATCTCAGCACTTTGGGAGGCCAAGATGGGAGGACCTTTTGAGTTCCGGAGTTCCAGACCAGCCTGGGTAACATAGTGAGACCCCATCTCTATAAAAAAATATTTTTTTTAATTAGCCAGGCTTGGTGGCACACACCTGTGGTCCCAGCTACTCAAAAGGTTGAGGCAGGAAGATCGCTTAAGCCCGGGAGGTCAACGCTGCAGTGAGACATGATTGCACCACTGCACTCCAGCCTGGGCGACAGAGCAAGACTCTGTCTCTGCACCTCCCCCCAAAAAATTTAGGCCAGGCACGGTGGCTCATGCTTGTAATCCCAGCACTTTGGAAGGCCGAGATGGGTGGATTACTTGACATCAGGAGTTTGAGACCGCCTGACCAACATGGTGAAACCCTGTCTCTACTAAAAATACAAAAAATTATCCAGGCATGGTGGTGAGTGCCTGTAATCCCAGCTACTCAGGAGGCTGAGGCAGGAGAATCGCTTGAACTCAGGAGGCAGAGGTTGCAGTGAACCGAGATCATGCCATTGCACTCCAGCCTGGGCAACAAGAACAAAAGTCTGCTTCAAAAAAACAAAAAAAAAAATTAGCCATTACAATGGGTATGTTATGATATCTCATTATGATTTTAATTTGCATTTCCCAAATGACTAATGACATTCATCGTCTGTATATCTTTATTAAATCTCTACTCAAATATTTTGCCCATATTTTAATTGAGTTATTTGCCTTTTACCTATTGAATTGTAATCATTCTTTACATGTTCTGAAAATAAGTCCTTTACCAAATATATACTTTGCACATGTTTTCTCCTGTCTGTGTGAAGTCTGTACTCTTAACCATTTCCTACATTGCTTCTCAATATTTATTGAAATAATCAAGAAACTTCTGCAGGGCAGTGACCCCTTCCTTCCAGCAATTATGGGTTTTAACGTTAACAAAAGGTAAGAAAACCCTGTTGACACTTTTGTTTGAAGACTGAAAGTTCACATTTTCACTACTTATCAAATCTCTTCCATTTTGGTACAGAACAGAACAATCCTTTTTTGGATTTGAAGAATTGATGAGGTCACAACTGTGATTACCTCTGAATTCTGTCTTTACTATCCATTGAAAATAACTAGATAACTCTCAGCTCTGGGTAACTTGCCCTAAGGTGCCCTGTTTTTAATTTTCTAGTTGTTTTGTTTCATTATGGAGATAGACGGTTTCCAGCAGTTAGACCTAGAGAAGAGTGTACCTTCCAAAAAGACTACTCCTAAAAGGATTATCCATTTTGTTGACGGAGACATCATGGAAGAATATAGCACAGAGGAGGAGGAGGAAGAGGAAAAAGAGGAACAGAGCACAAATTCAACACTTGACCCTGTAAGCTTAGTATATCAATATTAGGGAACATGGTGAGGGAGGCGGTGAATGAACAAGAGATTGAGCCAGATAAGGTGTATAGAAAGAATAGCTTTAAGCTAAGTCCTTGGTCTCCTTTTTTGCTTTCTAGATCCATGTGTAGGCAACTTATAGTTTTAATCATCTTAGTCTCTTCATCTGTGACAGAGAAAATGGAACATATTACATAGAGCATTTTGAAATCTCTACATTAAAACAAATCTGCAGTCACCATTCCTCTTATTAATTACTCTATCTCAATTTCTCCTTTTTTCAGTCTAAACTTTCCTGGGGACCCTACCTGCGATTTTGGGCAGGACGGATAGCAAGCACCTCATTTTCTAGTAAGTAGTGCTAAGGTTATGTTTTTTCTATCCTAAACAAATATATATATATATATCTCAATAGGCCCTCAGAGTTATGTGGGACTTCCAATTGTGTAAGCCACTCCATCGCGTCCTGAATAAGTGAGATCTGGGCTAAGCTTTCATTCCCAAAGGCACAGAACCTCGCATCCTCAGGCAGACCCTTCATCTTTTACCAACTCTCATCAGGAAATTCTTATCTCGGCCCAAATGTTATCTACTTCTAAAGTTCCTACTTATCTTTCTTAGAACCATACAAAACTGGTCTAGATGCGTCTTTCATAGGACAAAGTTTCCCATATTTGAGGGCAATAATCAGTCCTCCCTGGGTTGACTCTTCACCTAAATAAACTTCCAAGTTAAAAAACAATTATTGTTGTATGACACAGTTCTAAGCTTCTAACTTCCCTAAACATAACTGCTTTATTATAAACATGAACTTTATTGATCCCTCTTAGGGGCATAATGAATGGGCTAAGTGAATATTTATAACAACTAAAATACTAAATCTTATTTTGCTTGACTTTCACCAATTTTTTAAGACATAGTTGACAACATCTAATTACTCATTTCCTTCTAACTTGCACATCTTGTGAATATGATAGGAAGGCAAACTAAGAGTCTGAGAAAATAGAAGTTGTATTAATAGCTCTTAGAAACTGATCTTCATTCATTCATTTGAAAAACATTAGTAAGTGTCTACTATATGCTCAGCACTGTGCTGGACTCTGGGACATAAAGATGAATGACAGTCTCTGCTTTCAAGGGACTCAATATTCAGTGAATCGTATAGACCAGCAAACATGCTCGCAATTATAATTTGTTGTCACAATTGCCAGGGTAGGAAGTGCATAGGGACTCTGACCTGGAAGACTCGGGCATGCTGACATATGGAGGAGGCACTTTAAGAGAGCTATGGAAGTGTGACTGGCTAAGGCTAGCTTGAGGACCATGAAAGTGACCAAAGAGTCTTTAGATTACAGTAAAAAGTAAAGGTGGGGTGATTTAGGCAGATAGTATGAACCTTCAAGAAATAAGTGCTTTTACACAAGCGCAGAGGGTTAGTGATTTGGAAGTTACATTGAAAATCCCAGTGAATACTAACCCTACCCTGACCATAATATGTTAACAGAAAAAAAAAATGCTGTCTTCCAAGAGCTCTCTACACTTAGGTTAAGGCAAAAGGGTTTGAAAAGATGTTTTAGAGGGAGGGAATCAGAGATTAGGCTGGGTAAAAGAAGCAAAACTCAATATGGGATTGAGAGTATGGAGAAGCAGAGTGATTTGCATGTTGGGTTTTGATTTAAGATTGCAGGGATAGGATGCATGGTGAGCCTAGCTTCCTTGTAAGTTCCAAACAGAACTGCAGTGGTAAAACGCTCCTAACTGGGGCTTCAAGATTGTAGTGGAGGCATAAAAATGCTAGCAGTCAGTGCTGTGGTCTCTCTACACAGATATTTTGTCTGAATGGAGCTAGAACCCAGATGACACTAGTAATTAACTTTTTCAATTTAAAATTCTAGTAGGTCGTAAACAGGAAAGCTTCCTAAGATTTATTTTAATATTAAAAAAACCCTATCTTCTACACATGTACTAGACACTGCAGATAAACAGAACAAAGAGATAGCATATTAATGAAAAGATAAGACATATTTTAAAATAGCATCATTTTGATGCCCTATATGAGCAATATCCCAAGAGGCAGAATGAGTCAGAGGAATCAGAAAGTCCTATAATTGGGGCGGGGGGGTAAGAGAAGGCTGTTGGAAATCCTGTAATCGTAAAGGAAAACTTTTCTAGGAGACATCTTTAGGAAACCACTCATTATTCATGCTACGCCTTTATCCCTGACTCTAACAATCCCAGTGCTGAGCCTGCAGGCCACCTTGCCACTGAAGGCAGACAAGGAAGGCCTTAAACGTCTTCTGAGAAGTCTGTCTGGATGCATGGAAGAATTACTGATGTGGGTCTTGGTAACACTGGATTGAGTTTGGGTTTAATTTGAAATATACTTGGAGCGGATGTTTAGCTGGTATGCATGGGGATAATGAGCAGTACCTGTTCTGATTGCTCAGGACCCATGCTACACCTGTTGTGAAAGTATATTGAAAATCTCTCCTGATATATACATCTGGAAAAAATAGTTTTTATATGATCCCATATAAAGATAGAAGATTTGACAAATTTCCTTTGAATCCTAGAATCTTTGAAAGGCCAAGGCAATTGAAATGTTTTGTCGGCCTTGAAGTTAGGTATAGTAATAGGTCATTTGCAGAGTAGTTTAAACTCTGGGCATCTCAACTGATGCGAAGCTTTAGTTAGTAATTCAGTTTACGCAAGTGCTTGTTCTTTCTTTTAGCATGTGAATTCCTTGGTGGAAGATTTGCTGTCTTCTTCGGTCTTACTCAACCCAAATATCAGTATGTGTTAAATGAGTACTATAGGATACAAAACAAGGTATGTGACACTCTGATGGAGGCAAGGGGCCTGAGATGGGAATATTGATTGCTCCAACTTTAGGCCAGTATAGAAAAGTATTTTTCCCACCTGGTCATCACGCATTACAGTTTCACCAAGCTCCCATAGTGAGACTGACTTATTTTTCTTGTTCTCCTTGCCCCAGGACACTTCTTCATATTTGCCTCACTCCTGCGAAGTTAGGATGCCATGAGCTGTGTTGTAGAAGAAGGTAGTTGGGTGTGAAGCCTGAGATTGCTTAAAGTAGAAGCTTCTTACATGGGCATTATATACAAGAGGGGGAGTTCAGAGGTCTTTGTTTGTACAGTTAAACATTTCCTTATTTCTCTCCAAAACAGAAAAGTGACAACGAAAGTGAAGGGAATGGATCAAAGACCCAGGCAGCTGAGGTTCCTAATGAAAAGTGTCACTTGGAGGCTGGGGACCGAGAGTATGGAACCATACAACAGGACACAGCAGAAGCCATTTCTCAGTGAAGTACCTCATCCAGGGAAGGTCTGGTGGCAGATTCTAGCTCATGATGGCAGCAAAGACTATAGTTTCCCTGGATCTCTGTTCCTTGGCCATTGATTACCATGGCAACACCACCAGAGGTAGCACTTCTGAGCCAGATCTGATCCTAATCTCCGTGTAACTTAGTCTCAAGCATCCAGGAATTACAAGCAATAATGAGAGTAATTTTTGACACTTTCTCAGAATAATTTTTATATGCAAGCCACCCCACCTCGACTCCACCCCAGTGATACAAGTACAATGAGTACTGATATTTGCATAGTAGCATAAAGGCCTTAAGGAACTTTGGGACTGGGAGTTTTTGGCTGAAATCCTCTGTCATGGGATGAGGGTACAGTAAAGAAGCTCTATTCCTCAGAAGAAAATTTGGGCACCACAAAGTCTAAATAAATCCCCTTTCAGGGTTTGACATAGGTGTGTACTTCCAACAACCATCCTGGCTTAGTTGGGGATTGCTTTACAATAAGTAAACATTGCTAATAGCTCTGTTATAAGATCATTATCAAGATCTTTGAGAATCAGGTACATCCCTCCAAATTAAAACAATCAATAAATAATATGCGCTCTAGAAAAAATATTTTCAATGGATTATTTTCTTATTCATTTGTCAAGAAATTTTCAAAACCTGGAAAGATCAAACATGGAAATCATTGTTAGATAACACAGGGTGTGTCAGCCAAAGTAACTGTGATACATTAATAGTAAAAAACAAAAAGAAAAAAAAGAAAAAAAACCACAGGGCCTGCAGTAGTAAGATATGAGTTCCAGTTTCACTTCTCCCATTTACTAGGTGTGTTATTTGAGGTGTCCAGATTTCTGAGCTCCAGTCTCCTTTGTAAAATAGGGGTGACTTTACTTTGCTTGTTATTGTTATACAGAATTATGAGAAATAATAATTTATTGTTGTTTTAAGCTTTGGAGTGGTTTGTTATGCAGCCATATATAACTGAAATTGTAGCTGTAAAAGAAGAGGAAGTTGGAATTAATTTAATATGAAATCAAAGACAAAAGTAGTCCTGGAACATAAGGGGTTGTTAGTTGAATATAGTAGGATAAGATAGATTATGCTGCACAGACACCTCCAAAATCTCAGTGTCCTAAAATAAGAAAGTTTATTTCTTTCTCTTGAGAAGTCCACTGTCAGTTTCGGTGGCTTCCCAGACAGGTGTTCTCCACGTGATAGCTCAGTGTTGCATGCTTCTTTGATCTTATGTTTCCTCCATACTGTGATGTGCTTTCGGGGTTGCTGGAAAAGGAACAGCATGGAGAGTTAAGCAGTGGCAATCAATATCTCCACTAAGAATGAATCATGTCACCTCTGTGTATGTTTCTTTCACCAAAGCAAGTCACATGACTATAATTAATTTTACGCGAGTCTGAGCCTCCTAAGATAGCTGAGAAAAGGAAACACTCTCTTCTAATGGCATAGGAGATAAATGGTAGGCTCAAGGGTTAATATGATATTGATTTAATCTCAGCTCTGCTGCCTCTTTGTAACCCAGTAGCCCTGTGCAAGTTACTCAACTTTTCAACATTCTCAGATATAAAACAGATTTGAGACAGGAAGCAGGAAGCAAATATATTTTGAACCATCTTTGTGCAACAAAAAAGAATTTTGGGGAAAGTACACTGAGTTATCAAATGGATGCCAAGGGGAGATTAGTCTCAATAGGATCTGAACAATGTGACAAGCAAGCACCCAACAGATACTCTCTGTCCCTCTCTCATCTTTCTCGCACATGAGGAAGATGCCCACTCTATAGCTCTTCATAACTCTTCCATTCAAGTGACTGATATACTAATCTTTCATCCCCATTTCAAAGTATAGTGGGAATAGAATCTGTTTCGCTCCTTTTTGTCAAGTATCACTCTCTAATTCAATCAACTGTGGCCAGGGAGATGGAGCCTTGTAGTAGCAACATGGTTATGGGACCTATTTCTGGGTAAGGATGGTTCTCAGGAAAAGGAAATTGAGGTGAGCTAGGTAGGTATCCCATGACTGTTTCATGTTAAAATTAAGGAAAAGCATGTAAAGCTGTGGCTCTAATTAGATGCTTAAGTCATAGTATCAATTATTATTATTAATATTGATGAGGTTAATTCTATATGTCAACTTGATTGGGCCACAGGATGCCCAGATTAAACATTACTTCTGGGTGTATCTGCGAGGGTGTTTCTGGATGACATTAGTATTTGAATTGTTGGACTCAGTAAGTGGATTGCCTTCCCAATGCAGATGAGCATCACCCAATCCACTGAAGGCTTGAATCAAACAAAAGGCCAAGGAAGGAGGAATTTGCTCCTTTTTTCTGCTTCACTGCTTGAGCTTGGATAGCTCATCTCATTTCACCTTCTTCTGCCCCTGGACTGGGATTTACTACATTGGCTTCTCTGGTTCTTACGCCTTTTAACTCAAACTGATTTACATCACTGGCTTTCCTGGGTCTCCAGTTGGTGAATGGCAGATTGCGGGACTTCTCAACCACCATAATCGTAATGCATTCAATTCCTCATTATAAATCTCATTGTATCTATCTATCCAATTATCTGTCTATCTACCTATCTACCTATGTCTCTATAAATCTATCCTATTGGTTCTGTTTCACTGGAGAACCCTGACTAATACAACATTGAATGAGAATCCTGGTTTCATGGATTCTGAATGACTTGTCCCCACTGAAGAGTCAGTCTTAGTTCTTCATCTGATGTGTTCCGTTAGTCCAGTGTCAAGGCGAAGTAAATCTGAAGGTTTTATCATATTGCAGAAGAAGTGACCAAGTCTAGCAGTTAAGCATTTGTTACTTCAGTCAAGTGTCCAGTCATACTAACGATCTATGCCTGTTTACTTACTATTTTGCTTCAGAATAGCCCTAGAAATGGACTGTTTTTGACTTTTCCACTTTCCTTTTTGTTTTTTTTTTGAGACAGAGTCTTGCTCTGTCACCCAGGCTGGAGTGCAGTGGCGCAATCTCGGCTCACTGCAAGCCCTGCCTCCCAGGTTCAAGCCATTCTCCTGCCTCAGCCTCCCAAGTAGCTGGGACTACAGGCGCCCGCCACCATGCCCAGCTAATTTTTTGTATTTTTAGTAGAGATGGGGTTCCACCATGTTAGCCAGGATGGTCTCGATCTCCTGACCTCGTGATCCACGTGCCTCAGCCTCCCAAAGTGCTGGGATTACAGGTGTGAACCACCGCACCCGGCTGACTTTTCCACTTTTCTGAAGAATTATCCACTTCTTGAATATCCACTTATTGATGATTCTAAGGAACCAGGTGGGCTTTTCCCTTTCAGACACCCCTCTCTCTCATGAGAGAAAGACGGCTGCTCTCCTTTCTCTTTCTTTTGCCCATTAAACTTCTGCTCCTAAACTAAAAAAAAAAAAAAAAAAAAAGAACTAGGCAAAACAAAGTGTGATATTTGAACTGAAGAAGTGGATTTTTATCTAGCAAATGTTATACTCTCAATTTAATTTTCTTTTTCACTAAAAGAAAAGATTCTCTTATGGTCAGTGACCATATGCAAATCAGTTGAATCTTGAGCAAAATATAATAAAGACGACAAATGGAACCCAACACCCAGATCTTATCAGACGGTTCCTGCAGGACAAGTCCACAGTTTCTTTAATATTAAAATTAATTCATTATTTAATATTAATTGGACATCTACTGTGTGCCAGTTTTTTCTTTTTGTTTTTTTAAGGTACTATCAACCAAACAGACAAAAATCTCTACTTTCCTGTTGGTCCTTAATTCCCAACAGATAAATTATTAGGACACTCAGTCTTTGTATGGCCAGCCTCTCAGATGGTCCTCAACGATCTCCACTTCCTGCTATTCATACCTCGTGTAGTTCCTTCTCACACTGCACCAGGGTGATTTATGTAACCAAAATAATATGGCAGAATTAATGGTATGCCACTCCAGAGATTGTTCTAAAAGATACTATGGCTTCTGTCTTGATCTTTCTCACTACTTTTCTCTTGGATCATTCATTCCGAAGGAAGTCATCTGCCATGCTATGAGGACACTCAGCCAGTGCAGCAGACTGAATATATTCCCCCACAAATTCATATGTTGAAACCCTAATCTCAGTGTGATGATTTTGGAGGTGGGGCCTTTGGGAGGTAATTAGGTCATGGGGGTGCAGCTCTCATAAATGAGATTAGCACCAAAAGCACCCTCATAAGAAAGGCCAGAGAGCTAACTGGCTGTCTTTCAGCATGTGAGAATACGAGAAGTCAGCAGTCTGCAACCCAGAAGTGTGCCCTCACCAGAACCTGACGATGCTGACGTCCTCATCTCAGACTTCCAGTCTCCAGAGCCATGAGAAATAAATTTCTGTTGTTTACAAACTACCTAGTCTGCAGTATTCTATTATGGCATCCTGAACTGAACTGATTAAGACTTGAGAGAGTTCATTGTGCTAAGGAACAACCAGTGCTAAGGATCTCCAGTGAACAACCTTTGAGGAACTCGAGGCCTGCCTACAACCACATGAGCGTGCTTGGAAGACCGCCTTCCTCCAGTCTGCAGAGGATTGCAGCTCTAGCCAACAGCTTGCTTGCAACCTCATGAGAGATGCTGAGCCAGAACCTCCCAGCTAAGCCACTCCTGGATTCCTGGCTCATAGAGAATATTAGATAAATGTTTATTGGTTTAAGCTACTAAATTTTATGGTAATTTCTTATAGTGCAATGGATAACTCCTGCATTTTTTATTCCTAAATATTCCTAAGGACTTCTAAGGATAAACTCATCCAAGAACTATAATACACCCAGGAGTGCAGGGATTTTACCTTACTCCCTCAAGGCTAGATGAAACTCACTGAGCTGTATCAGATATGCTTCCTGCCTTACTGCGCTGTGTCGGGGCCTAACTAGGCAACCATTGCCTGTAAGTTGAATCTGGCTGTTTTATTTGCCATCGCTGCCAATTCCCATATTTGTCACCTGCTGATTCACCCAAAGGGGTTTTCAATATACCAGGAAAAACACTTCTCTGAAATATTAGTCATGAACATCCCAAAGCAAAAAGTTTAGGTTCCCAGAAAGTACAGCTTTTTAGCGATAAAATATTTCACTCAGAGAACCATACCATTTTCACCAAAGCACAATCATAATGTCAAGTTGACTCAGTAGGAAGGTGTATTAGTTCATTCTCGCACTGCTATTAAGAAATACCTGAGACTGGGTAATTTATAAATAAAAGAGGTTTAATTGGCTCATGGTTCCACAGGCTGTACAGAAAGCACGGCAGCATCTGCTTGGCATCAACCATGGTGGAAGGCAAAGGGAAAACTGGCCCTTCGTATGGCCAGAGCGGGAGGAAGAGACAGGGGGAAGGTGCCACACACTTTTAAACAATCAGATCCCATAAGAACTCTGTCATGAAGATAGCACTAAGGGGATGGTGCTAAACCACCAGAAACCTCCTCCATGATCCAATCACCTCCCACCAGGCCACATCTCCAACGTTGGGGATTACAACTGAACATGAGATTTGGGTGGGGACAACCATATCAGAAGAGGTTCCGCCACTGGTCATACTCTATCAGAACCAATGCTCTTCATCAACAATCTGGACACTGGTATAGTACTTGTCAGGGGTCCAGACTCCCCCTCTTTTATAGTAGATTTCCTCTTGAGCTTTTATTATCTTTTCATGCCACCTGGTCTTGGTCAGTGTCATCCCAGCCCATCTTAACTCATTTTTCT